TGACCTCGCATGTTTAGTTCAGTGTCATCAGTATAACATACTTTAGTAAAACTGTGTCCCACCAAAAACTAACTTTTTCAAAATTGTAAATAAAATAAAGAGAAAATACAAGATTTATGTGTGTTACTTTGCAATAATTTGAGAAAATGACTAGGAATTTCTGAGTGAAAGCTGATTTTAAAGTAATTTTACACCATTTTTTTCAGTGCACCGCCAAAACGGATCATATTTGTACATACAATTAGATTAAAATGTAAAATAAACATATTTCTGATATGATAACTCAATACCACTTGCCGTATTAAACTTGCAACCTCATGAAGCGACTATCCAGCACACTAGTGTTTAAAGAGTTTGCCACTCAAGCAATATTTTCATGGTCCCTTTTGGACATATGTTGACTATAAGTAACATTGCAACTATGTCAACTATCTCTCATTAGAGACTATGATAAGTATACTTATTACTTAAAGGGATAGTTCACTTTGAAATAAATTTTTGGGATGTTTTAGCTTACCTCAATGGCATCCAAGATGTAGGTGTCTTTGTTTCCGCAGTAGTTTCAATTTTGATATTTTTAGGTGAAACCGTTCTTGTCTGTCAGTCATATAATGCAGGTCTATGGTCACCACCTCAAAGAGCATGCACAGAGAAGTCCAGATTAAACATGATTTAATGACTCGTAAATGTAAGTACACATTGATGGCCTAAGACACGAAACGAGCGGTTTGTGTGAGAAAACGAACAGTATTTATATCGTTTTTACCTCTTGTAAACACAGCCACGTCCAAGTGATCTGAGGGCGCCGGCGCTTCGGTCTGCGCAAGCGCCGGAAGTGATCTCTCGCACGGTTGCGAAAAAAATTCAACGTTGTCTGTTGATATATCGAAATCCTCTTCCATTGCGATTTCCTGTATATCTAAATATGTTTAGATCTTCACAGTGAAAGGTAACACTTCCGAAATCTCTGTGTAAACAATGAGTGACGTACACGCGCGAGAGACCGAAGCGCCCTCAGATCACTTGGACGTGGCTGTGTTTACAAGAGGTAAAAACGATATAAATACTGTTGGTTTTCTCACACAAACCGCTCGTTTCGTGTCTTAGGCCATCAATGTGTACTTACATTTACGAGTCATTAAGTCATGTTTAATTTGGACTTCTCTGTGCATCTCTTTGAGGTGGTGACCATAGACCTGCATTATATGACTGACAGACAAGAACGGTTTCACCTAAAAATATCAAAATTGATACTACTGCGGAAACGAAGACACAGACATCTTGGATGCCCTTGAGGTAAGCTAAAACATACCAAAAATTAATTTCAAAGTGAACTATCCCTTTAAGTATTAGATAAGTATTACTTACTAATAAGTAGATTATCTGCTTAATATCTTTACTGTGATCCTCCTCCAACAGACATTACTGACTATAAATAGCTTTGCAACTACATGTCAAGTTATTCTAACCCTAACCAGTCTACTAATCCTCTACTAACACTTAGTAGATATGTAGGTTTAACGTTATACTTATAGTCAGCAGAATGTGTTAAAGGGACCATCAAAATAAAGTGAATTTAAAAGGAAAACCCCTCCTAACTCTGAGACAAGAGGCTTTTTTTAATGGATGTCAATGGAGGAGAGGCTTCACTACACTGGATAAACCGGTTTTGTGATATAATAGCTAATCTGAAGCCCATTGGCTAATCTTCAAACATGTTTGCTCTTAAATATTCATTTCGGATTGATCTATTTTTATAGTGTACACCAGAAAAAAAAATGCAGTTTTATATAAGAAGTCACAGACAGGTATGATTCAGTTTACGGCACTTCTCATTCATTTCTATGGTATTCGCAAACAGAGATTGACTCCCACAACTCTGAATAAAATTCAATGACGTCAAGGCTGTAATGTGATTGGCTATCAAGGCTCACGTGATCCGAATCAGCTGCTTTCTCCAATGGTAGAGCCACGGGCCTCATATCTCCCAATAATAAGACCATCTCTGCTGTTTCATAAACTATTTTATTTTAAATAGTGAAAACTTTAGGCATGCATGTTTTTTATGAATATCTAATAGAGGAGAAATCTAGTTATCTCGGAAATGAAGTATATTCATTTTGCGTTTTAATAACTTTTGTGTAAAACTGGAAATCAAAATTCTAAAAGGATTCATTCATTCGTCATGACAAAGTCAAGTACATTGCAATTCTATAATTGGGTCTGCTAAATTAATACATGCAAATAGATACAATTTCTGTTCTGTACACACAATTTTGCAAATAGTACAGTAGACCATCATGCATACACAAAATATACATACTGCACACAAAAAAAGTATGTGTAATATGGCATTATTGCAAAAACAATCAATTTGCATGTGCAAATTATGTGCATGAGTTTGATGGGCCTATAGGAGATGCATGTTGTTAATAGATTTAATTAGGCTAATTTACTCTCACAGAAAGCCAAATTACAGACATGCACTATCTGATGTGTGTGGCCTTGATTGTATTTGGATGCAGTTAAAGACTGATGAACGGACGCCCCTTTCCCACACCAACACACACCTGCCTATTGGCTGCAAAAATAATTAGACACTTAGTATGCAAATGAGCGTTACAAAGCATGACCTTTCAAAAGCATGAATGTAAATGTCTTGTTTCAAATCAGTACCTTTGCAAATTAATGAAGGAGCAGTTTAGGTTTGTCTGCCGTTTTTTGGTTTGTTTTGGTTTGTTTGCCAATCAAATTCAGTGTATCAATGCGGCAGGGAACAGAGGGAGAACTCTAAATTACATGCTATACAGGCAACCTGCCAATTTGAGTCTTGAAAATCATATCAAGGCATAATACCGCAGCTGCAGTGTGAGCGTGTCATGCGCAAACCCGTTTACTGTGCTAAAACAAGACTCTTTCTGCTTCCACAGAGAGTGTGAGCTACGTCGAGGTGCATGAAACACTCAATTATATCTGCACCAATACAAAAATCTATTGCAAAAATGACGTTTTTGATACATTGTGTTTTTGAGACACCGGTTTGCAAGTGTAGCTGGTTTAAACGCCCGCCGAGCCCCAGTTATTGGAACTTCAGTTCATTTGGTGCTGATGGATGTTTTTCTGTCATAACGGCATTTGATCACCCATACACTGACTAATTATCTACAATGATTGATATTTGGCGCAGTGGAAGTTTCTCCGCTCTGCTGCAAACGGATGAGCTGCCTTTATCACAGACACACAGTGTTTGTCAAGGACAGCACAGCTAATTGTTGGTTTCTACAGCGCGCTGACATTGAATGAGTATTGAGATGGCTCATTGTGTATTGCTGCGTGTTGTTGGTATTTACAGTGAAACTATCAAAACATGTATTGAACCGTGGAGTTAACGTGATTATAATTAATCATGAGTGGTTTCATATTTATTAGCTAATGCCGACACAGGGTCACTCTGGTTTGGAGTGGTTACAAATCAGTCCTTGAGGGAGTTTGACGCTTCAACCATTTAGTTGTTCAGATTTTTAACCCCTATGCTGCTGTCAAACTCAAAATTAGGCCACTTGTTTGGAGTTGTCCACATTGTTAAACCAATAAATTACTGTCTAATGAAAATATTGCTGTAGAAAGGCACATTTCAAGCACAATAAGTACGTGTTGATAACATGGTGCAGTGATAGTATCAGATTTACAATAAATAAAGTGTTGCTGAACATCTTGTCTCGTTATTTAATGGTAGATTTCGTTGTGACAACTTACCTCAATGTAGTGTGACAACAAGCAGCAATAGTGGTCAATGTGAAGGCTATTCAATGAGCTCACTCTTTTATACTGCAATAAAGGTTTTAGTTCGATACCTTTTTTTCATTTGTTTTTTTAAGTCAACATTTTACGTTGTTTTTTTTTTACAGAAACTGGCGTCATTGACATTGTACGTTACATACATAAAGTGCCTTGCAGTTCAGTTAGCCTATAAGGTACTACAGACAGTACAGTAATGGTAATCATTCGGTAGGCTACCCTGGGTATATATTAAGATAGAAGATCAGATCAGGGTCAAATTTAATCACATTAAATAATAATAATTCGTTACATTTTTATAAGGCTTTACATAATTAATTACTGTACCATGGTACCACCACAGTACTTTTCTACGAGTCATCAGATTACCTGAGCACAAAAACACGTCGCAAAACGTATTTCAGGGTGGATTTCCTGTCTTTAAATCGATGTGGGTTCCATCAAAAGGGCTAATTTGGACTGATTAGAGCCGAAAATTAACAAACAGGGCACACAGATACACACGCACGGCACGTACACAAACTAAGCGCGCGCTACCGAGAGAATCAGTACCCTGGGAAGTATGATTCATTTTATAGAATCGGTTCGTTGAGATGACTCGTTTCAATGAACCGCCATTCTCAGATTGTTTTGATCACGCTACCTTTGATTTTTCTTGTCATTAAGCGAGGAGTTTTACATATTGTGTTACGTTGCGTGCCTAAAACATGAACAACAAAAAAAGGAAAATCCTTCTTAAATTGGTGATTCGGAAATTCATCTTAAAGGGACAGTTCACCCAAAAATGAAATTCCTGTCATCATTTATTTACTCACCCACAAGTTGCTCCAAACCTGTATGAAAGAATCAGTTGCCAAACAGTTGATTGGACCCTATCTTTGAGATAACATATTTTGTGTTCAACAGAAGAAAGAAATTCATACAGGTTTGGAAAAACTTGAGGGTGAGTAGCAGCCTAAATGATGACAGAATTAAAATTTTTGGGTAACTGTCCCTTTAAACTTGTGCAAACAGGTGTTTCACCTGCTTGTCACCATGGTCCAAAACATGGTTTAGGATTTAGATCATGCGGATTGTTGTAAGGGTTCAGAAGCATTGTTCCTAATATTCTTATTAAAGCAATTTTGTTTTACCCACAGCACAGTAATCGGCTCGGCTGAATCACTAAAAAAGAGTCGGCTCAAAAGAACCAAATTCGCTCGCGAATCGGACTCCACTACCACGGAGCGATCGAACCCCTCCCAGTTACTCCCGTGGTTCTTGCCACTAACATCAGACAACAATCTCCAAATATGTGCGAGCTCACATGAAATAACAAGCGAGAGCGTCACATCATATATGTTGAATGATTCCCCGAGGATGTGAGAGTCACGGATGCAGCGATCGATGAGTGTTTCTGTCGCAGGTAAGAGACAAACGCATCTCGCCTGTTGCTCAGCCACACATAAACACATGATTGAGAGAGACTGACACGCATTCATCTGTGTCACATATGCATTTTGCATGCTGAGAATAGGAAACATGCTTGTGTTAGGTATAAAACAAGCGAATTGTGTATGCGTCAGCTGGTGTTTGTTTGCGAGTGAATTATTGCAGGCGCTTCATAAAATATGCGCCTTTTGAATTGCAATTGACAGGATCAATGATTGCAGTTTTCATTTGCAGTGCAACTGACATTTCTGATTTATTTAAGACAGCCAGGCATGAGCAACTTATTTGCAGTTATTGATTCATCTCTCATAATGGGACTAATAATCATGTTTAATGAATGCAATCATGCTTGACATTCATGAGGGTGTGGAGAGTGAGAGCCTCGGCTGTAATGTGTGTGAGATCACTCTTCACTGCTTTACAAGTCGAGAAAAGTTATTTTCAGCGCTTAGCTTTCTGGTTTCGACCTGCCTTCGAGTGCTTCTGATGCTGTCTCTGCTTGTGAAATTGCTAGAAGAAGGTGATGTTCCCTTTGATCACACCGGAAGGGTCAGATTTCAGGATTAATTCAGGGATAATGCATTGGATCAAAGCTCTTCTGCTCATATCTGATTGGATTATTATCACATTTGACACGAGACGCCTTTAAAGCCAGATTCTGATCTGCTATTTGTTCTGACTGAGCAATAATTATCTCATATGATGCTTTGAAACAACATATTTTACCCTTTGTGCTGCAAGATCTCCTTATTTTAATGCATCTGTCAAATCCAGTGAGGAGTAAAATGTAAAATGCATGTTTGCATGCATAAAATACATCAAAAGAAATATCCATACAATTTTGTCCATCAGACGTTGCTTGTTTATAAGTCAATTAGTTCAGTATAAAATATCAGCCACAATATACCCACACGTTATTTTTGCACATATTCCAAGCTTTATTGAATAAATGAATGATGGTGCATAAAAGCCATTAGGATTTCTTTCCCCAGCTCCATAATCTTCACATTATGAACTTTAATGTGTTGTGATGATGGTAAAAGCTTCACAATCTGTTTGGCTTTCTTCGAGCTGTGAGCCAAGCTCTGCCTGATAATAATCTGGATCAATGTGTTTTAATATTAAAACCGGATGTCAGTCTAATTATGACTCTTCCATTCATGATGAGCATGTACTCATTCTTGTAATGCCAACAGAAATATCATTTCTTCTTATTAACCATGTAGTAAAATATCTAAACATCCTTAGAAGAAAATAGATGCACCCTATAAAAGCAAATTGCATGAAATATTAAGACTTGTTTTAAAAGAATAAATCAAGTATTAAATGTTTAAAGTCAGCATGAAATTAAAAATAAAACGATCTATTTTCTAAATGCATGTTATTGAATGTTTCATCAATGCTTGTTTCATTGTTTTTTATTTGACCTCATACTTTTTTAGTTGAAATGTCATAACTGGATCATATTGTGAAATGACTTAAGGACTTCTCCAATCATTAAGTCTGCTTAAACTCACCCCTTTACTATTGGTCATTTGAACTGGAAAATATATATGCTACAGTAAAACCTAATAATTGGTGTGTTTTAACTTACCTAACAGCGAAAAAACTATTTTTGAAATTCTATTTAATAATATAATACATATATTTACTAGTTATCTGAATGAAAATGTATGTAATTTTATTTTTAATATTATATTTTAATAGATTTTTAATATAATTATATTTAGGTGTAAAAAGTGTGAATCACCTTATGAATTTCCTTTTACTATAACTGTATATGTATTAGCTATATTATTTGAAATGTTATACATATTTTTGGTAATTTAACATTATATGTAATTTTACTGTAATATACACTCCCATAAAAAGTGCTGTTTGGATTTTAAAAGGCAATGCTTAAGAGTCTGGATGATTATTGCAGTGATTATTAGCATGTTATATGTTTGTCAACAGTTCTTCTAACACTAACTGATGGAGTGTGTAGCTCTTCATCTCTTACACATGTAGGAAACACATCATGCTCATATTCCAGGATGACAGTGAAGATTCATCCGGCTCAGATTGTGAAGGAACGGTTGTGAGGAACATGAAGAATCATTTCCACACATGAGTCCAGATCTTAAACTCACTGAGAGTGTTTGAGATGTTCTGGAGGAGACTTTACAGAGAGCTGGACTCTTGCTTTCACAATACAAGATATTCACCAAAAATATAATAAGAAATAACATCACAACATTTATTTCCATCAAGAGTTGCATTTATTTTTTGTCAAGATCTTGTACGGACAATCCACGAGTCATTATATGCTATTTTAAAATAATCATATTTAAATAGATTTTATTTAAATAAAACTATATTTTAGTATTAAAAAGTGTGTGAATCAACTACATTTACCATAACTGTAAAATATATTGTTACCTACAATTTGATATTCCACAACTAGCATTTAAGATACAGCTTCTAGTTTTTTGACATATTCATAAACAAAAATAAATAAGTAAATAAGGTCTGGCTTGGTTTAAGGTCTTGTGACTTTCTTATATGGTGTTCACATGCCATAAACCTCAATATATCAGATTTGAGAGAGTGATGTCAAAAAAAAAAAAAAATCCTCCATAAGTAACTGCAGTTTCCCGATACGATACTCTTTATATTTGAAAGCCGATAAATATAAATCCAAATTTGTATATAATTTTTTAAGAGCCTGATTTAACAAACAAGAGTCTCACCATTAAAAGCCATGTCCCAAACACACAATTATATATAATATCTCATTATAATTTTATGTCGCCGATATGACAGACTTGTGCTTCTCATGTTGCACTGAAGCGTATTTTCCTTTTTTGAAGTGATTCCAATCATATTTCAAACAATTCAAAACCATCATGTTGAACAACAGTGTGAATCTGAAGAGTCTCAGCTGAAGGAAATAATCATTATTTATCAGCTTTAATATATCGGACAAATTTTCTTATTGGGCCGATAACATTAAAAATGAACATATATCGTCCGATACCGATATGGTGGCCGATATATCGTGCGTTAATGTTTAAACAACAAATGGAGATAAAGAGCCAGATGTTTTATAAGTAAGGGATGATGATGAACAATTAGCATTTAATTATGGAAGAGTAAACCCAGAACGTGTGACATTATATTATATTATATTATATTATATTATACTAGTATATTATATTCACATTTATTTGTATAGCGCTTTTCACAATACATATCGTTTCAAAGCAGCTTTATAGAAAATGCATGTGTTACATTACAATTTAGAGTGATCTGTTATCAGAGGTGATATATTATATTGTATTATATTATATTATATTAGCTGAGCTTACTACTTAATACACAAGCACAGCTTTATTGAAACATGCAGTTTCCTGGATGAGCAGTCATTTAAACAGTGTTGCCATGGGCAACAGTCATTTTTCAGGAAAATTTGACTTCTGAATGTCACGATTGACCAATCATAATCATTCCAGAGAGCCATGCAATAATATCATGTATTTTTATTTAAGATTCATCTAGAATTCATCTCACCTGAATTTCAACGTAAGTGGTTTGTTGTTGACCGTATATGAATGACACGTTGTTGGTTTTTTTCTCGTTTTCTGTAATGGCCTGTCAGAGTTGTAATAGTTTGCACCCAAACGCCTGAGATCTTCCATTATATATCCCATGTGGCAGACGCACACACACATTACATCAGCTGGACGGGCCTAGAATTCATTGAGTCACACACACACACATACTGAGCATGGCATGTCAGGACTCCTGCGATACTATTACATCACTATTGATTTATTTACATATAAAAGGTCCAGATGTGCATGCCTCTGTAAGTGAGCATGTTTTAGCTCAGCTAATTCAGTCCGCTGTTAAATGTAGCGCACTCAGAAATGTGCAGGTGACACTTAAACCGCTGTTATCTCACACTTCACACTTCACTTCTGTTGTTTACATCAATCCAGGCTTGGCGTCACGTACTGTATGTACAGTATGTGGCATGTGCTCTGTGTTAATGTGTGTTAATTATAGTTCTCCCTGCCCTCCGGTTTACAGTATGCTAGGTGACCTTAACTGTGTGTTTGTTCATGCAGTGTTGCTGAAGCTGCTTTAAACTGTAGTTCGTTGTAGTGGTGCTTGGATGTTAATGTGAACCCTTTAGATTTTTCTATATTTCTGCATAAATGTAACCCAAAACATCATCAGATGTTCACCAAAGTCCTAAAAGTAGACAAAGGCTACGTTCAGACTGCAGGTAAATGTGGCGCAAATCAGATTTTGTGACTTTTTCTCATGACAGTGTGAACAAACCACATGTAATCTGATATTTTCTATTCTGATTTGTTGCCTCTTCCATATGTGGTACTAAATCTGATACAGGTCTGATGTTTTGCAATGCAATCGCAGTCATGATTCATGCTAGCCTGGTTAAAACCAGACCATTCTCAGTTGTAACTGAGTTATGGTCTGGCAAAGCGTCATAGACAAATCATTTCCAGAGGGGCGTCACCAACGGACGTCGCGGATAGACCTAAACCCAATCAGAGCGATGAAGGAGATGACGTATGCAGAGCGGCGGAGAAACATCTCCGAGTGTTGTTCTTTGCTTGGTTTTTAACTAAAAGGAAACGTTCAAATGGCTTAAAACAGACGCGATAGCTGATTGGAACGAGTGATGTTCGACGGCGGCATCCATCTTTGTAATGTAGGCTACAAAATCTGCTTCAAAATCCCAGTGCTGTCGTCATCGTGTAAAGCCCGCCCCAACGCTTCTGATTGGTGCCTTGATTTCGGCGGATTGGAAATGGGCTTGAATGAGCTCTTTGCCAGACTAACTTTCAGAGCAAATCTAAATTTGCCGGAAGTTATCTGGGTTTTCCCAGGCTAGATTCATGCGACTATTACGTCTAAACTAGACTTCGACCGATAGTTGATTTTTTTCGATAACGATAAGGTTAGCCCACGCCGATAACCGATTGATCAACCAATAGTTTTTTTAAATGGATACTGAATGAAAATTAATAAAAAAAATTAAATAGTGCTGAACAATGAAAATATACTAATACAAAAAATATGAATATATTAATTATACCTTAATCAGTCATGTTAGTTCATAGTGCATTAACTAATGTTAAGAGATAGTCAAGTCATCTTCATTTATATAGCGCTTTTAACAATGTAGATCGTTTCAAAGCTGCTTTACAGTGATAATAGGAAATTAACATAACAGAGATTGTTTTGGCTTTATGACAACTCTAGAATAAAGTTATTTTCCAGCTAAAGTTACTTTTAATTGATTCTCTTCCGTCGCAACGATCATTAGTTATTAACTTAGGGGCCGCTAACACGACACCGCTATAGATACAACAGCCAAAGAGAACCCAATCATACAAATGAGGACAAAATATATAGAGATCCAGTCATTGTCTTGCTGCATGAGCTCCACTTTCTCTTGAGCTTCAGTTCACCGATATTTTCCTTTAGAAAACACTGGAATAATTCAGAATTCATTGTTCAGTCAAAACAGGCCCAGACCATAATATCAGCACCAGCATGTTTCACAGAGGGGAAACACTTCTCATTTAAACCAAAAAAGTCCTATTTTTGTTAACAATTTCTACCAATAGCCCTCTGGCTTGTCCACATGATCTTTAGCAAACTGCAGACGGGCAGCAATGTTCTTTTCGGAGAGAAGTTGCTTTCTGCTTGCAGCTCTGCCGTGCACAGCGAGGACGTTCAGTGTTCTTCGTTCAAAGTTTTTTTATTGAATGACAACTTTGCAAAAACAATTACTGTACGATATACACATTTTTCCTTTTTTTTAACAGAACATACCCCACCCATATCCCACCCTCCCATCCAATTACAAGCAAACCTGCATTAAAGGGATAGTTCACTTTTGAAATTAATTTTTGGTATGTTTTAGCTTACCTCAAGGGCATCCAAGATGTAGGTGTCTTTGTTTCCGCAGTAGTTTCAATTTTGATATTTTTAGGTCAAACCGTTCTTGTCTGTCAGTCATATAATGCAGGTCTATGGTCACCGCCTCAAAGAGCATGCACAGAGAAGTCCAAATTAAACATGATTTAATGACTCGTAAATGTAAGTACACATTGATGGCCTAAGACACGAAACGAGCGGTTTGTGTGAGAAAACGAACAGTATTTATATCGTTTTTACCTCTTGTAAACACAGCCACGTCCAAGTGATCTGAGGGCGCCGGCGCTTCGGTCTTTTCCGGCAAGCGCCGGAAGTGATCTCTCGCGCGTGTACGTCACTCATTGTTTACACAGAACAGAGATTGTAGGTAAGACGGCTAATTAAAATGGTACTAATTTGCGCTTATCCGGGATGTTTAAACCGTCGTAAAAGAAAACAATTAAAAAAAATAAAACAATTGTATGAGTGACGTACACGCGCGAGAGATCACTTCCGGCGCTTGCCGGAAAAGACCGAAGCGCCCGCGCCCTCAGATCACTTGGACGTGGCTGTGTTTACAAGAGGTAAAAACGATATAAATACTGTTCGTTTTCTCACACAAACCACTCGTTTCGTGTCTTAGGCCATCAATGTGTCCTTACATTTACGAGTCATTAAATCATGTTTAATTTGGACTTCTCTGTGCATGCTCTTTGAGGCGGTGACCATAGACCTGCATTATATGACTGACAGACAAGAACGGTTTGACCTAAAAATATCAAAATTGAAACTACTGCGGAAACAAAGACACCTACATCTTGGATGCCCTTGAGGTAAGCTAAAACATACCAAAAATGAATTTCAAAGAGAACTATCCCTTTAAGAATTCTTACAAGAGATGATTTAAATCACAGTATAAATTGTAGTAAGGTGAAAAGGGTAAAAATGGAAGAAAATAAATACACACCTTAAAAAAAATAGTAATAATAATTTCAATAAAAAGACCACAAAAAAAACATTCGGTGTTCTTCTATGAACATTAACATCAGTCATTGTGAGAGAGGCCTTTAGTTGCTCAGGAGTTATATGACCTTGTGGACTATTACACATCTTGCTTTTCGAGTGATCTTGGTTGATCGACCACTCCTGCAGTTGTCTTAAATTTCCTCTATTTGTGCACAATCTGTCTGACTGTGGATCTGTGGAGTCAAAACTCTTTAGAATAGTTATAGTTATAGTTTTATAAACTTTTCTAGTCTGACGAGCAACAACAAGGTCCTCAAAAACCTCCTTTGTCCGTGCCATGATACACGTGTTGTAAAGTTGATCCCTGTTCTTTAAATAAAACGGCAGACGCTGACACGGGATTGTCATCACATTGACTGAAAACATCTAAGAATAGCCTAATTTTGCCTTTAAATTAACTCCTATTTTGTCTAGTTATATGTTTTAGGTCATATTTATGCAGAAATCCACAAACCTCCAGGGAAATTAGTTATAATACCTCAAGTTTTAAGTGATTAATCACGATTTCCGTATGCAAACATTCACTCATTTATGCACAAAATATTCTGCCCACTGTATAATAATAAAATTGCCCACTGTCCACAATAATAAGGCCCACTGCATTCATTCTGCCTGCTTATGCATTTGTCTAATCATACATTAAATAACATCAATTTGAATTAAACAGTTACTGTAAACACTAGGGATCAAACAATACAGGCTTTTTCAATGCCTGATATTTAAAGAGCAAGGTGGCAAATATAATGTTGATACAGTGTGGAGAGAAAGCGAAGTGCGTGTGTGTGCGTGTGTGTGTGTGTATGTGTAAAATGTTGATTTTTGAAGGATCATATGACACTGAAGACTGGAGTAATTGCTGCTGAAAATGCAACTTCAGAAATGCAATCACAGAAATAAATTAAACATTAAAATATATTCAAATAGAAAACCATTTTAAATTGTAATAATATTTCACAATACTACTGTTTTTACTGTATTTTTCATATATAAAATACTTTGTATTTTTCAAATAAATGCATCCTTTGTGAGCAGAAGAGACTGAATTTTACATTCTGGCACAGTCAAATAAACAAAATACCACTTCTGTTAATTAATAATCTAAGAACGTTCAGATATCTTAGTCCAACTGTGCAATATGTTACCTTTATCCATTCGCATATTTATTTATATATTTGTGTTTATAGACTGTTTTTTTTCATAAGGTTGGTTATTGTGTGAATACAGTTGGTTTATTATTATTATTGCAACTAATCTTACTCTATCCTATTCTATTTTCCATTCCCTATATTTTTGTGTTTTATTTTTGAGCTGCTGTAACACAGGAATTTCCCCAGTGTGGGATTAATAAAGTTTATCCTTATCCTTATATCTACTGATTATTCAGCAAATATTGCAGTCTTTCTTTAGTTAGCCTCATATCACTCAGTGTTGCACCGATGTGAGTTTTTCTGACAGGCCTCTCAGACAGAGAGGTTCTGTATGTACTAGAGGAGTAATGGAGAAAGGTGTCATCCCGACCCTTAAATGATCTGGTCTCCTTCACTGTGTGTTCTCCCTCCGCAGGCTCAAACAGACGATGAGAGTTGACGAGACCCACGGATCTTGGTGACGACGCGGTCCCGCTATGGGGCTCCCGTGAACGGCCCTGGCGTCGAGTATGTTGACTGCCTGTCAGCATGACGCCGTTGGACCTGTGGCTTTCGCGCTCCATCCCCATGTGTCTGCTCCTGCAAAGCCTGGTGCTCATGGTCCTGTGCTTTCCGTCTGCCAGCACCTGTCCCAAGGGTTGCACCTGCCAGCGGTCCGAAAGCCCTCCACACGGCCTCAACGTCACCTGTAGTCTCTCACGCTTGAAGGAGATCCCGCCCGACGTCCCACCCGAAACCCAGCTACTGCAACTAGACCGAAACCACATATCTCTGGTGCCCGATCGCATATTTCACGGTTTGAGGATGCTTCGGAGGCTCAATCTATCTCACAATGCCGTGGAAACCCTCGGCGAGGGGGCGTTCGTTGGTTTAGAGGGATCCCTTGAAGTGCTGGACTTGTCTCATAACCGCATCACTAGCGTGCACAAGGAGGCGTTCGCGCGGTTGAAGGCGCGCGTGGTGGTGGACAACAACCCTTGGCATTGCGACTGCGCCTTACAGCAAGCGTTGGGCGGTATGGCACACAACCACGAGGCCGCCACGCACGTGTTGTGCCGTAGTTCGGAGCTGAGAGACCAGGAGGGCCAGCCGTTCCTGGCCGTGGACGCGGACTTGTGCAACCTAGCCAAGCGGACCACCGACTACGCCATGTTGGTGACCATGTTTGGCTGGTTTGCAATGGTTATCTCTTACGTTGTGTACTATGTACGGCAGAACCAAGAAGACGCGAGACGACACCTCGAGTACTTAAAATCGCTTCCCAGCAAGCCCAAGAAGCCGGACGAACCGGAGGACATCAGCACGGTCGTGTGATGGCGATACCAGAGACTAAAGGCCCGCTCACACCAAGGACGATAAAGCTTTAATAATCTTTTCTGATTCTATAGTCAAATCCACTCCACGGCTGTAACGATAACAACACAGAAGAAAGATATCGTTTAGGGATATACGATATATCGGCCACCATATCGGTATCGGGCGATAAATGCTAATTTTTAATGCTATCGTTGTCGACCCCCCAAAAAAATTTGGTCCGATATCTTAAAGCTGATAATTAATGGATTATGTCCTTCAGCTGAGACACTTCAGGGGCCTCATTTATAAAACTGTGCGTAGGATCCTTACTAAAAGTGTACGTGCGCCCGAAAGCCAAAAATGGCGTACGCAAAAAAATATTCAGATATATAAAACTGTGCATACGCCAGAACCTGCGCAGAATTCACTTTATAAATCCCGATAAATCTCAGTCAGCGGAAGATTGTGTGCACACGCGTCTCCTCCCTGAAATAACCATATATGGAGCTTACAACGCCTAGTTTTACTATGCATATCCTCATCTGCATATCATTTGCATATGATTATTCATCCACGTGATAACATGTTTAACGTTACAAGACATTAGGAAAATATGAAATAGCCTAATACGGATGTGCCGTCACATTAGCCTACATTAATAAAAATAATTTAGTAGCCTATCCTTGCCTTGTTTTTGAATAAATAAATCAAATAGTGTAAAATACATTTCAGAGAAAGTTTTCACAATCTTTTCCACTGACCAAATAGTATTTTTTATTGATTTATATTTTTAATGGAAACAGATAGACTGTTGCGCATTATTTGCACGAAACTATTTTCTCAGACAATCTGCTATAAGCAATTATCTCTTTAGTTAAAACATTAAAACACAGCATGCCAGAGGAAAAGTGTTCGAAAGCATTGCATCCACAACAAATATTTATATTTATGGAATATAAAAAATTTGTAACTTCTCAGTAATGATTTCATGTTTAAGTGTTTAACTCCATCAATGACAATGGCATATTTAATCTAAATGTTTATATCAGAAGTAAAACAGTTTAAATCATTCTTTTATTTATTTAAACTGTTATTGTGAACATGCACTGTTTTTATGATTAGGACTCTGTCGTTAGATAGGCGTTAGTTTCACTAAACGGCACAACGCGCGGACATTTAAGAAGGGATGAATATTTGCCTCAAGTGATATGCTTGGTGAGTGAAATTATATTTGTATAATCTTTCTGTATAGCCTATGTATAATTTTCTTTAGATTTTCTGTCTAAAAGTGACCAAAAAGACATTTAACTCCAGCTCACCATCGGTGTCGCCAAACTGCTCCGTCTCCAAAACGTTCGTACGCACGGGTCAGAGTTTGCGTGCAGGTGCGCACATTTTCCCGTCAAGTTTGTTTTTATAAATCACAACTTATGCGTCGGAAGTGGCGTACGCCTCTTTCAGGGCCTGTTTTGTGCGTACGCAACGGTTATAAATGAGGCCCCAGATGCGCACTTTTCGCCATGATGATTTTATATTGCTTGAAATAGGATTGGAAACACTTCAAAAAAAGGAAAATACGGTTCAGTGCAACACAAGTCCGTCATATAGGATACATAGAACATGAGAACATTATAATTGTGTGCTTGGGACATGGATTTTAATGGTGAGACTTTTTTTTTTTTTTTATCAGGCTCTCAAAAATTATATATAAATATATATTTAGATTTATCGGCCAATATATCGGTTATCGGCTTTCAAATATAACAAATTATCGGTTATCGGTATTGGCCAGAATTTTTATATCAGTCCCTAATTGGAATAGTTGGAAACACTTTCAGAGCATTTTTTTCCAGCTGATGATAGATCAAAACATTGACAGCCAATCAGAATCCAGAGCTTGAGCATTTAAAGTGGCAGACGACAAAATTGCAGTGTGTGCTTAAAATAAACAGAATGTTATTAAGCGTTGGCGTGCACGCTAATATAGTTATCGTTCTTCGTGTGAACGGCCTTTAAACCAGGATGTTGACTATTGTGACGCGAATCGTAAATGTCGTCTAGCGTACTACACCTGTCTTCTCTTTTTCCAATGTGCTTTCCTGTTTCTGAGTATGTATTTAGAACAATTTGTAATAACTTCCAAATCTGTTTCCTTATGAGAGATAGAGAGAGAGAGTCTTTTAAAAGCGACGTCAAGGTGGCATTAAAACAATCGTAAAGTTGTCCTTTAAATGTGGTCCAGTCCCACCGTTTAGAGCGAGAACTTGTCTTCAGGCACATTGACACGAGTCATTTTCTATTTGAACTAGTCCGTTGGAACAGATCGTAAATCATTGAGAGGCGATAATGATCAGTACAGGTATTTTGAGAACTCAAATCTCAGGTGCAAATGTTATTAGACTCCAATGATTTGTAAAAACCCTACGATGTTTTGATGCTACCCAGTTTTATAAGACAATCGCGAGGCATTTTAAAAACCTTTAAAAAAACGGTGTGGCATGCCCTTTATTAGTGAACCTCGGGCTCGATGCGGGACATTTCTTCCAAAGTTCTGAAACTATTATTGTGCATTTTTAGCTTTTCGTTTTGTTTGTTGCGTTAAAACTCGTCCACATTACATCGTGAGTCGTAGAGCACAGCAGTGCTGGTGTGGTGCTTGTCACGTGATTCTCGGAAAAGTAGTCGAGGAACGTGGTCGATTCCTCCATTCGAGTCTTTTGTCGGTAACGTTACTTGTGAGACTCTTTGTCGATGTCGTAACTCACCGTGCGCAAAAAGAGCCCCATGTTAGTCCTCGTGTCACATGAGATGGCCAGTGTGTGTTCGTAAACGTCAGGTTCCATCCCTGAAACCAAACTCTGACTCAACTTCTGGCGTCCTGGAAGTATACAGGGACGTCGGCTTCCCCCGGCGCTGTCGCGGTACAGCCGCCAGCACTCATTATTGTGTGTGTACAGTTATTCTGGCTGGTCGTGAGCAGAAAATTACAGCTGTCACTCTATTACTGGCCTCATTCTTACGGATGACTGCTGAGTCCAGCAAAGCAACGCCCCGGGGAGAGCTAGAGGACAGAAAGACGGCAGGAGAAGAGAGGAGATGGAAAACAGGAGGAAATCAGGGCCCTTAGGAAAACGGATTATGGTGGTGCCGTAGTATAGTAAGTTTCAGATGCCTTTCATATATCATTGCATTCACCTGATCCAAGGACACTGTGGTATTTCCATGATGTCCAAAAGTTGTTAATACCATAGTGAAATGGTATTATGATGGATGCAACCATTTTGGGGAACCAAATGTAAACTGTAATGTATTGATCATTGGGGAATTGCCAATCAGAATATATTAGTACCATCTCCACAAATTGGAAATACTACGGTAGTTTTGTGAGTGAAATGAGTGTTGTTTCTTTATTGTAACTTCTTTGTTGTGTATCCTGTGAAGTTCTTTTTTAACGAAACTTTTTAAACGGTAATTCAATTCCAAGGTTGTTGCCGTTATAATAATGACGTTTGATCGTGGCTTCAACATCGGTTCATCGGAAGCATTAGGAGAACCTTAGAAGAACATTAGGAGAACGCTTACCCGACTTCACTGTAGATAAAGAGCTTGGTCGTTTGCGTAGGAAGGAACCTGAAATCCCTTTAAAGAATTGTGTTTTGAATGTACTTATCTAGTCTTTTGCCTTGTCTAACTGCGGTTGTTCTACACGCTGTATTGTGCTGGGAAAGAAAGCTGATTCTCAATGCAGACTCCACAGTGAAGCACGCTGTAGCCAAGGACACGGGGGGAGATTTTCTAAGTGCCTGAAATACTCGTCTATATAAGTCTCTCATTCTTCCAGCCAACGATAACTTTGCTTTGAAACGTGAATCGAGTCTTGCTCGGGATATGTCTTTACTGCACAAAGATATGGGGAAAATAAATTAAGTTAGCAAGTCTTGAGTGGCACTGATGATACGTGATGTTTTCTTAAGGCCCTTTCACATGATTCATGTGCGTCGTGCAATGCTTCGGCCTCAAGGACGATTTTACAAGGCTGTTAAGTGGCAAAAAATCTTAGATCAAGAAGTCCTAGCAATTGCTTACATATATTGGACAAAGAAATCAGAGACTTATCTAACTTTCACTCTGAATGTCATTTCATCATTTTTTCTAGATGTTCCAGATATACACATTATTCTCTCTCTACTGATTTAATATTTCTTATTTTTCAACTGGCTGTTCTTTTCAAAAGGTCAGCGACAAGTTAAGTTTGTGGCGCCACAAGTAACACTGTGTCCTGAACAGGTTTAACCATCTTTCCCATGTAAATGTGAGATTTGGTCTTCATCAAACACAAGTTTCAGGACATTTTCTTGTTCGGCTGATTCTGCATTGTCACTCAAAATGAAGCCACACGTTAAACATCATATACAATCTGATTGCCTGTGATTATCACATTGCAAAGCATTTTTGCATTCATTGAGGCCATAAAAATGACTTACTGTTGGAAACTTATTGGACCTGATGTGTTGCTGTATCATGCGTTGGGGAATTGAACGTGAATCATGTGAAGGGGCTTTTATTGGAAGAAAATTAGAGGCATGTGTTTCTTCCTATGTTATGTTTATTTTTATTTTCTTTAGGTAATTTATTCATCTTTGTGTACCATGTTTTGGCTTGGTATACATGAGACTGACTTATGCTCAAAAAGTGACATACCTTGACGACGTACAACTGGAGGAGGACCAATGGTGCATCACATTGTAAATGCATGATGTAGAGAAAATGAAATAAAAGATTCATTCACACTGTTCCTGGTATACTTTTTTTTTCGCCTCTGTTACAAAATCTAGTGAGCTGCCTACTTAGGCGGTATTTAAGGTTTAAGGTGTATATTTACAATATATAATATAAATGACTTTAGGGGGACGTTCCGTAATGGTAATCTTATGGTCACATAACAACGTTACAAAGAGGACATAATCAAAACGCTCTCATATGGGTCTAAGTTGGTCATACAATGACGTTCTTTATGTGACTTTAGGGAACGTTCCATATTGGTTATTTTATGGTTATTTACATAGCAACATTACAAAG